TATTTTATGTAAACATATTAACATATTAAAACTGGATCCGGAGATTAGATTTCCGCCTTAACTGCTATAATTATTAGTTTTATTAGATTTTTGTTTTAATAATATAAATAAATAAAAAAAGCTTTTTTCTCCAAAACTTCCCCCCTAACAACTCCCTCTAACAATAATTTATAGATAAATATTATTATAAAATGAATTACTACCAAAAATTAGGCTCCACCTTAATAATTAGGTTATATATCATAAAAATATTTCAAAATAAAAGAAAAAATTGGATAAAAATATTTTATTAAAAACAATTCCAAAAAAATAAGAGAAAAAATAGATAAAAATAAATATATATTTTATGTAAAACAAACTATTTTTTAAATATATTAAAATATTTGACTAAATTAAAAAAATTGAAACATAAATTAATATTTTTAATACGTCCATGTGTTTATTAATTTAGACAAATTCAATCGTTATACATTAATAAAAAAAATTCATAAAATAAGGGGAAATTTTGGATAAAAATATTTTAATAATTCTTAATAATTATCAGATTTCCACAAAATTTAATCATTACACATTAAAAAAATTAATTGTGAAAAATAAGAGGAAATTTGGATAAAAATATTTTAAAAATTACTAATAATTAATAAATTTCCACAAATCTAATTGTTATACATTATAAAAATTAATTTTTCAGAATAAGAGGAAAATGTTGAATGAAATATTTTAATTATTACTAATACTTATTAGATTAAACACAACTATATTAAAGATCAAAATACTAGATTTTATGGAAACATATTAAAATTGGAAATCGGAGATTAGATTTCTGTTTTAACTGATATAATCATTAGTTTCATTAGGTTTTGTTTTAATACGATTACTAATAATTAAAAATATTATTAATAATATTTACTAATTATTTTCTCTAATTACACTAGAGTAAATGTTACTTTATAATAAAAATTATTATATTTTAATATTTTAATTATTTAACATTTTACATAATATTAAAAAATGATTTTCTGCAAAATAATCGAATTAAGTTGAATAAAAATAAATACTTGGACATAAAATCTAATTATTATTATATCTAAAATTTAAATAAAAATAAAAATAATCAAAATTATTCATAAAATTAGAAAATAAATTGAATTGCATATATAATTAATTTCTACAAATAATTTATTTAAAAACAAATTAAAAATCCTTATTTAATATAAAAATTGATTCTGCAAATAAAATAAAAAATTTGATAAAAATATTTTAATAATTATCAATCTTTATTTAATTTCTCAAAATCCTAGGATTATACATTATAAAAATTATTTCTGCAAAATTAGAGAAGAATTTAGGTAAAAATATTTTAATAATTACTAATAAATATTAAATTTTAACAAAGTGCAATCATTATACATTATAAAAATTAATTTCATAAAATAAGATGAAAAAATTGGACAAAAATAAATATATACTTTATGTAAAAGAATAACGACAGTTATATAACAATCAAAATATTATATTTTACCTCTCAAAAAAAATATTAGATTTATGTAAAAATGTTAACATATTAAAATTAAATCTGGGGATTAAATTTCCGTGTTTGTTAATTATATTGAAGTGTATTGATGATGTGAAATGTGAATGACACAGTTTAAGTATCATTCTTATATAAGAATTGTAAACAATTGATTTTTATCAATAAAAAAATATTTACTTCAATAAAAATAATGGAATGTGGAGTCCATAAAATAAAGAGTAAATTATAATCGCACTCTTGTATTTTTATGAAATAACAATCAATACATCTTTATTATTTGGATAGTGAGATCTCTTAATAATTGAAAAGATGTTACACTCATATCTTTTAGATTATTCTTCTTTTAATGAGTTTCTTTAAAAGTTAATAAAAAAAAATGTTATATTCACACATATTTAACTTCTCTTTCATTTGTGGAGTCTTCCTCAAACTCCACTACCACTTCATCCTCTTCCTACCCCTCTAACACCTTGCTCATATATACATATTGCCTCCAAAGTGATCGTGTTTGCTCCCAACCCAAGCCTAAGATGTCCCAAAAGAAAAAACTTCCTCTAATAGTGACCCCACCCTCACATCGAGATGTTGTAACCATTGCTTACGAGTGTTACTTGTGAAAAATAACATAATAGGCTAGTGTGGCTTACAAGCATTAGCATCTATTTTTTTTATTATCTTATTTTGATGTTAATTACTAGGGGTGGGCAAAAAAAACTAAACTGAACTGAACTGAACTGAACTGGTGGTGAACTGTACTATAAAAAACTGAACTATTTGTAAAAAAAACTGAACTGAACTGAACTGTTGTAAAGTTGAACTGTACTGAACTATAAAAACTGAACTGAATTATAAAAATTGAACTATTTTTATAAAAAAATAAAAATTAAATGTGGTTAACATGTTATGTCTTAATAGATTAACTCGATAGTTTAATAACCAAAATTTTAGAAAAAAAGTGATTTGAAAAAAAATTGTATCAATTTTGTTGAACTTAACAGATCAATTGAGCTATGTTGAACTACTTATTTTTAGGCTTAAAATTCACTGAGTTTGTTTGACTTAATTTTATATTTTTTTCCTTTGAAAAATTTAAATAAAATGGAAAATAAAGTAAAGTTGACAAATGTGTCCTATTTTGATAGATAAATGAGTCAAAATTGTTCAATTCAAAATATCATAACAGTTTAGTGCAGTTTAAATTGCAGTTCAGTTCAAGTTTTTATAGTATAGTTCAGTTCAGTTCAATGACACAAAAGAATAGTTCAGTTCAGTTCGTCTGAACTAATATTTAGTTTAGTTCAGTTCATATGAACTACTTTTAAGTTCAGTATAGTTTTTATAAGTTCAGTTCAGTTCAGTTCGTTTTGCCCACCCCTAAATTTTGTTGAACTTAACAGATCAATTGAGCTATGTTGAACTACTTATTTTTAGGCTTAAAATTCACTGAGTTTGTTTGACTTAATTTTATATTTTTTTCCTTTGAAAAATTTAAATAAAATGGAAAATAAAGTAAAGTTGACAAATGTGTCCTATTTTGGTAGATAAATGAGTCAAAATTGTTCAATTCAAAATATCATTACAGTTTAGTGCAGTTTAAATTGCAGTTCAGTTCAAGTTTTTATAGTATAGTTCAGTTCAGTTCAATGACACAAAAGAATAGTTCAGTTTAGTTCGTCTGAACTAATATTTAGTTTAGTTCAGTTCATATGAACTACTTTTAAGTTCAGTATAGTTTTTATAAGTTCAGTTCAGTTCAGTTTGTTTTACCCATCCCTACTAATTACTATATCTCTCACACGAACTAGTTCAACTTCATATGTTTTTTATGCATGTTGTAATGGCTGTAGCGTCATGGTGCGAGGTTGGAGGCACTGTTGGAAAAAGGTTTTTTTTCTTTGGACTTTAGTTGAGAGTAAACTTATGTAGTCAAGATTTTTAGGGGTAGTTGATGTATATGAACAAGGTACTAGAAGGGGAGGAAGAAGAGGAGGATGAGGAGGTGGTGGTGGAGCTCAAAGAAAGCTCTATGAAGGAAGGAGAATCTAAGGGTATGAGAGTAACAAATTGAAAATTTTAAGGGAACTTACTAAATGAAAGGGTACTTATGTAGTATGACTTTAACATCTTTTTAACTTTTAAAAGTATAACGGAGGGATATTGACTATAATTTCAAAAAAAAACATTGAGAAGTACAAATATAATTTACTCTAAAATAAATTAAAAACTTAATTTTTTAAATTAAAGAAAAATTAATATAAAAAAATCTTAAATGGCATAAGAGACTTATAAAAATTAAATTAAGAACCTAAAATAATTTGCCTAACTTTACTTTTTCATTCTCTCTTTCTTCTCAAATTGATTCTTCACTTTTCATTTTAAATCCCTCTTTCATATATAATTCAAATTTTCCGTCACATCTTGCAATTTTGTTTCATGGTTGCCCTTCTTTTTTTTCTTCCTATTTGGCCCGTTTTCTAGAGGTGGTTTTAAATCTTTTTTTTTATTGCATAATATGAAATATTTATTAAAATTAATATTTGATTAACGAAAGATAGATTCTATGAATATAAATTAATTTTTAATTATCAGACATTATATAAAATATATTTAAAGAAAACTAAAATATTTATTGGTTAATATGACGTATTGTGAACTCAACGTCAGAGAGAGGAAACACTTCTCCCCGTTTTGGGCAAGAGCTAAAATACTATTTTCTTTCCAACCAAGTTATTCTTTACGTTGCGGACATCAGCATTTTTTAAAATAAGTTTTTTGAAACTTTATCTGAACTCATTTATATTAGAAATCTTTGGCTAATTATTTTTTGCAGGCCTGAATAATCTTCTTTTATCTAGTTTTCGGTCAGCTCACTAAGGGATAAAATACTCCCAAATATTGCCTCTGTACTAAAAGATTTAGCATGTTAAGCTACTACAAAATAGACTCGTGAATTTTAGTCAGTTTCTTTGTGGACAAGTTGAAAGTTATAATTTTATTTGGTTCATTAGACTTCATCTCCCTAACCTTGGAACACGGTAAGGTGAAAGAGAAGTGCCCAAGTAAAGTTCTCATCACACGTCCATCATTTAAATATGATAAAGAAGAAAAATTCAATGTTAATGATTGAAAATACTCTATAATCCATTGCCTAATTAGTGGAATTTGGTCAATTTGGCTCGTGACTAGGAGACATTTATGTCCTTGAACCAAACCAAACCTTAACCTTTTTGGTCTGTCTTTTCTCTTGGTAACACAAGCCAAATCTTGACTTCAAAATGCTTTAGCCACTCAAATTGCAAACGTACAATACTATCACCAATCGCAGCATTGGCATTACATGTCACTCTAGCATGGCTTGCTTTCAGTATGTCCATGTTATCTGTATGTGGAATATCACACCAAACTATATAATGAGTTAATGACCAATGGTTAAGAAAACTTAATGATGAAGAAAGAGGGAGGGAGAACACGTTGTATAAACTATTTTTTTTAATATTATTTGACTTACAAGAATGGAAAATTGACCCAACTCCTCAAATACAGTTGGGCAAAACAAATGAGTAAAAAAAATGATTCATCATAATCTAAATGACCAAAAGAATGGCCATGAAAAAACTAAATGAAAAAATAAATCATGGGTTAGATATGTTGTGTGGTGTGACCTTTATCCTATATTCTAAACTAGAGGTTGAAATTAAAAGGCTGAAGCAGTGCCTATGCACCTTATTGCCTTGCAACTCAAACATTGAACACACACCTTAAGTAGTAGGTATGTGATTTTGGGCAAATATGTACTCATGTGCTAGGAATTCCCATGTGTGCAAGCCTAGGGGATAGGTGAATTTTTGGACTTGGTCTTGGTGAGGGAATTGGTGCCTTGCTAGCAACTTTTCCAAGGTTGACTCTTGGTGATAGATGGAGTTGTTCAAGTGCCTTAACTTGGAGCTTTGTAGGGTACTCTCTCACACAACCAATCCTAGGACCAACTCCAGTAGTCCATTTTATTGACAGTGGCTTCATCTCTTTAAGTTCTGAAGTTTCCATGTTGCCACCAGAGTGAACCATGCTATCTTGAGTGCATTTTTTGGCAGTGGCAATGTCACTTGAACTAGCATTGTTACCCCTTTTGGACTCAAACTGTAGCTCCTCATCAATAGGTTTTGAAGGTGGGATATCATCATCAATTGCATACTTCTGCACAAGGAAACAATGAAATTACAAAATGTCATGCATATAAATTCAACAAATTGATATAAAGGCTAAATTACCAATCTATACAGAAAAATGGCTTGAAATGGTTCACTCACCTTTACATTTGTCAAGTCCACTTTATGTTCCATCAAGAAGCCAATGAATTCCATAAAGTTCTTCTTTGTAGGACAGTAGTGACCGCTGTAGGGCCATATAGCCTGAATAAGAATTAGTGAACATCAATTCACTTGTAAAAGAAGTAAAATGCTTTTTAACTTTTCTTTTTTGGAGTTGTTAAATCCTATATTCCTCTACATAAATATTTCCCACTATCAAAAAAATGTAATAGTAACAGAAAACATTTTCATTTTATGCTCCCATAAAAAAATACTAGTCACACCCTAGACAAAATTTATTGAAAACTATAAAATGGTGACAAAGATTTATTAAATAAGAAAGGAATGGTATGTATGCATAAAACAGGTGTCATACATCAAGAACTCCATTTTGGGCAACCAATCTTCCAGAAGCAATAGTAGCACCCCCAGCTAAAAAACTTGAGTGCTGAAATTGGCCTTTCTTTTTCTCCCCAACGTACAAAATTCTAGATGAGCTAAGAACGAAAATCCACTTAGATCCCTCAATAGTGTGTACAAGGTTCTGGCTTTTTCTATAAACAAGCCTTCCTCCCTCAACAATCACTTCATACGCTTCCCTCTCTTTCTGCATTTGCAAGAAACAAAGTGAACCTCTTAACATAAAAGAATATTTTGGTGGCTGCTAAATCTTTGTGGAAAGTCAACACTATTGAAAAGCATAAAGACTACTTTTCCCAAGAATAATATTCGTAATTACAGGTCAGGTCTTTAGTGCATTGAACTCATACAAAAGCCCCTGTTTGGTAGTTTACTAATCAATGGATTCTGTGCCTAAATTTGATTTTATAGTCAAACACCACTTGCACTCTACAAATGGCCAAGCACTATATAGTACATGTCCATGCTACGGTCAAAATAAAAATTGCATAAATGTCCCATAATATGTTATGTGGCATTATCAAAGTTTTGAAGTGAAATAAAACAAAAAAACTTACGGGTCCAAGATACTTTATGCACTGCCTATACAATTCACTTCTTGGGCACTCATCAAGATTTACTTCTTTTCCATCTCCAACATCCAACCTTCATTATGAAATCAGAAAATAATTAGAATCAAATATGATTAGACTTTTCTACGAGAATTTATTCTATTAACAGCATTGTAAATAATTTTACCAGTAGAAAAAGGGTTGTGAACTCTGGCTATGAAACCAAACATCATAGTATAAGTGTAGATTGTGCCCATAACGATGACGTGGGTCAATCTGAAAAGCAGAAGGGAATCATAATTTGGCATGATATACTTGCTTGTACTCTTAATTGAATTTAAAATTTTGAAGTTAGTCAAAATGTTGACATATGAAGTATGAACTTACGGCTTCAAGCCAGTGCCTTAGAGCCAATTTCTGCGCCTTATCATCTTTGCACAAACCTTTTCCCACCTACCGATTGGCCCAAAAGAAAAAGAAAAACGAAAGTATATTAGAAACAAAATCCCAAAAGAAAATTTGTCGGAAAGAGAATGAAAACTTTGAATTTGTCTCTATGGCCCCAGTCAAAGATATAATTGGAAAAGCCAAATTGTGTCAAGTCAATTATATTTCAAGCAACTACTAATAAATTTTATTGGAAACCAAAGGCTCAAAGTATTGAGGCAGACAACATAAGAAAGATGTGTCGGTCTTCACAGTTTATTGAATGATTTGAGCTTCCCTCACAAAAAGGGTACCTTAGCAGCCATGGTCCTAGCCCTTGCCCATTTTGCAATAGCTGTTTCTGATTTACCAGAGTCAAAATGTGAAGTGGAACACCGGCTAAGAGCAGCAAAGTCTAATGCCTTCCACCTGTAATCAAGATTTTAAAGAAAACACCCATTGAGGAGAAATTAATTAAGCACTAATCATTGAATTCTAATAGCAGTAAAAGTGTAAATAATTTTTACTCTGTCCATCATATAAGTCATTTTGTATTTGTTTCATGGTTTGTAAAGTGATATTTTAATTCATGAGCTTTAAATATATAAGAATAAAATTTTAATGCAGAAATTCAAATATTAATATCATAATCTTGAAAGTAAATCCTAAAATAATCAAAAACAAATTAAATCTAAATATTCAAAATATAAATAAATAATTTTTAATAAATCTAAATTATTTCTTCATATTTAAACAAAATCTTTTTAAATTAAGTATATTTAGACATATTTCTAACAAAATCGTTATATATATGGTAAGTTTATCAAGTTTTATGATAATTACTTTAAAAGTCTGTCACAATTTCACAAATCCTGATTAATTGACTACATAATTTTTTTTAAATTGACTGTGCATTCTAATGAACATAAAATTCTTTATGCACAAAAAGAATATCAGAAAATGGATATTGAACAAACCATAGCTCCTCACAGACAACTGCACAATCTGCAAGATTTCTTCTAGTCCTGTAGCTCTTGTAAACCTTCTGCAGCTTTATTGCAGCCACATCAAGCTCTCCAATGGACTTTGGTGAGAACAAAATTTCAGGTTTAGGCAACATAATTGTGGGACTTTGTTGAATGAACAAACCATCATCAACTTCCTCTTTTGAACCAGAATTATGAGAAAGTAGATACTTGAAGGAGAATGTGGTTTGCAGCTTCAGATTCCCCACTTTCCTTCTCTTTGAGCTTGTAGATTTTTCAGTAATAACAACCTCATCCAACTCATCCGGCTGATACAACTCATCAAGGTTTCTGCACTTCTTGAAGCTCATTGTTCTGAATGTGATCTCTCCCTCCTTTGACTCATAGTCCACAGGCCTCACCGTTGTAACCATTTGAACACCTTTCCAAACAAATAAGGTTACAGTTTCAGAAGCAATGGTGAGAATTTAAGGAGAAGAAATATCCTTGTCACCACCAATGACCCATTTAATGCATCAAATTCATGAACATGCCATTCTCATAAAGTCGTAAGGTTAAACATTCAACCCTAACAGATGTAGCACTAGCATAAGAAAATCAAATTTGACCAAGTCAAACATTAAAGATGCTTTTAAACAACATGCAACAAACCTCCCAAATTGAAACCAATTCCTACCACTGAATGATTGTTAAATTACTCCGTCCATAAATTTAAAGAAAGAAAAAAAACATTATAGAAATGTTGTTGCTGCACACCATAAGTTAAGGAGTAATATATAATTACATAGCACAACATATGATATAATTTATTTTCAATGTGAGTTGTAAAAGTGATCAAAGGCATTACTTCCAACTGAAAACTGAATAATCAAAGAGGGTCACCTTAAAGTTCGAAGTCAGGTTCTCTTTGTGCAAAGATAGCAGTTGATTGAGTTATGATGTTTGAAATGGAGACTTGGCTTCTCTTATTTAAAGCACGAGTTTTGAAGACATGAAAGGTGGGGAAGTTTAGCATAGTAGGCACTTTCAAATACGTAAGAGGCAGAAATTGAGGGAGAATGTGACATTTGGAATTTTTATTACCAATGAACGAGTTTAGTTTGAATAGACTATGAGTCCCATAAATGGGTTATTTTGAATTCAGGAATTAGAAAATGATAGTGTGACTTGCAGAAAGTGTTACATGAGTATATGCGAAAAGTTTACACGCGGAGATGTGAAACAAACAGAATCAGTCAAAACTATGCTATTTTATATAATGGTCCCTTTTATCAAATAAATACCATATTAACGAGGACATGTTTCTTTCTTCTTTTTTTTTTTTAAATTATTTTTGTAAAGTAAAAAATAATAATTTGTTGTATGGAAAAATTATAGAGTGGGGAGCAAGTTATTGGACATTTGTTGTACGGAAAAAATTTTCTATGCGAATCACTATGGTTTTTTCTGGAAATCATATTCCTATGTCAGATTGATAAAAAACAAAAAAAAAAAACCCAATTTTTTTTTTTTTTAGAAATTAATCAATAAAAAATTTATTTATAATTTTAGAAAAATAAATCAATAATATTAAATTTAAAGAGGAAAATGTGAAACATTATTGACTTTTTATTTTTCTCTTAGTGTGAACTTACATAAATGTTAATGTAAAATTATAAATGAGAGTTATAATTTTCTCTTTTTCCTTTATATCTATTTTTTTAATTATGACATATTTTTAAATCGTGACCTATCTTATTTTACTATAATTTCAAAATTAAATCATGAACCTTTATCTCTTTATTGTGAGTTTCTTTGTGACTTATCACTATAATTGATCAATTATTATAATGTATAGTAGTTTTTAAAGATAACTTACAATCTCATAAATTTATTGTACTTTAAGTATTTTTTTTAGTAATTACATGTTTAATTGCTTATGTGTTTTACACTTTTTAAGTTAAAAAATTGAGGTCATAAGTAGTATTAAAATATTTATAAAATATAAATTTTTCTACTTTACTCATAGCACAAAAAACTCAAGGCTAGCCCTGTTTTGATTTATCTATTTTGAACATTTTATTATTTATATTTCTCTTTGCACTTTCATGTCTTTTTTCCCTTGTTTTTTATTCTTTGAAAAAGAATTTTAATAATTATAAAAATGTATTTTTAAAATTAAAAATACAAACAAATGCAACTTAAATATTTAATTTCATATAAATACTTTTAGCATTTTAAAATTAAGTATTCAATAATTTAATGCTTTAATATAATAAATAATTTTATTTCCATTAAATACTTTTGACTTTCTGAATTAATAAAATGGATCGATATTGGTTGTTATTATGGGAAATGTTAATTGTTATGAATTTTATCTCATGAACACCATGCACGAACGACTTGGGTTGATTTTTGTTATTTTTTTAATTATATTTATTTATTAAACTAATATTTTAGTATGCATAAGACATAACATAAATATTGATTTATATAACTAAAATGTATAATAAGTAAATATTTTAATATATAAATTATATTATAATTAAAATTATGATAAATAAATATTTTAGAACTAAATTATATTTTAAATTTAGATAAACAATTTATATTGTGATGCAAAATTATTTTTATTATTTTAATTTTAAAATATTTAAATTCAATTTAAAAATAAAGATGAATTGATGAATTAAAAAAGATAAATAATTAATATACAGTATTAAGATAATACACGTGTCTCACCGACAATGAATCGAACTTCTAAATATACTTTTATATATAAAAAAAAATCTTAAAATAATTCTCATTGAAAATAAATCTTAAAAATATATTCAATATAAAAAATCAGATTTATAATTTATATATATATATATATATATATATATTATGATTAAAGAGACAGTAAGAATTCGTGCAATTTTTTACGAAAACTTTTTTTACCAAATAGCAAAGCCTTATTATTATTTGGATTATTTAAAGTAAAATACGATATAATAAAATTATTTTATTTTATTTGTAATTTTATTGTTCTTCATTTGATGTATGAGAGTAACTGATTAAACAAGATAAAAATGATGTATTGTTTTTTTTTACTTTATATCCCTCCTTCAAATCACTGGACCAACTTTGTAACTCCTAAAGAAAAGATTTGTTGTTGATTAATTTCTTGTGATTTCATCAAAGTTTTAATTTAAATGATAAAAGGATTGAGTGGGAAGAATAAAATAAAGTTTCGTATATTAGAAGTCACGTGTTTAATCCTTCATTCATTTAACCATTAATTAAAGTCGGTTTAGCGTGAAATATTTTAGAAAATATATACACATTAAATTCTAATTTCATTTCTATACGCGAGTTTGATACTCTCTCCCACCTTTAAAATTTTATTTTTGTAAACGTATAAATTCAAAAATAACTTTTTTGGCCTCAAAAGATAAAATCTTTCTAATGAATCTTTATTGTGTTTAGTCCAGACAAATAAAATTTTAGATTAAATTAAGTTAATTATTAATGATTTTTATTAATTATTAAATAGATAATAATATTTGATCACAGGATCTTTGATATGTTATTAGCTCTCTAACTAGTAAATTTGGGTGTGTCATCTCCTATCAATAATTTTATTTATAAAAAAATATAATCTCATTATTATTGTTCAAAAAAAATTAATTCATTTTCTCAAGATTCAAGTAAAATAAATGTAAGTTTTTCTTTATAGTATGTTTGGATGTGAAACTTAAATGAGTAATTTTTTTTAAGAATTTCAAATGCTTTAGAATAAAATGCTTTATTTTAATGGAAAATTTGTAAAGAATGTGAAATTTAAGAGTTGTTAAAATTTTTAAAATAGTATAATTTTAAATTCTTCAAAAAAAATTACATATCTTTTTTCTTCTTATCTCATATATATCTTATCTTGTGTTAACTTTTGTCTCTTTTATGCTCTATTTTCTCTATCTCTTCTTTCTCCCTTCTTTTCTCTTTCTCTCTCTCTCCTATTTCTCTTTTCTCTTCATCTTCCTCTCTTTCTATTTTGTCTTTTCTCCTTTTTTTTTTGTTTTGTTTTTTCTCCTACCTTCACCTCTCTTTTAAAGTTGACATGAAAAATATTAATAATTTTTAATTATTAAATATTTAAAAATATATTTTTAAAATTATTAAATATTATCTAATATTAATTTTTTTTAAACTATTAAATATTTAAAAATTGACTAATATGTACTTTTATAAAATTTAATCTTAAAATTTATATAAATATATATATATATATATATATATATGTGTGTGTGGTGTATTTAAAATCAATCTTATTCATGATTGAAAATAAATTATTATATCCAAATTAAGAATTTAAATTTTAAGAAATTTGAGTTGATTTATCCAAACAAAATATTTAAAGAATGATAAAAATTAAAATTAAAATAATTTAAATTTTTTTTTAATTTCTAAAATTTTTCATTCAAATATATTATTAAGAATTTGTTGAGTTTAGAAATTTCTTTTGTCTCCCAAGAGAACACCACCTTCTCTCTTCAATTTTTTTAAACTAAAATAAAAAAATGTAATTATTTGGCCTAACAATATATTTCCAAGACCAATGGTTTGATAGTAGGAGAGAAGTAGTACCCTTAATTAAATTGTTGGTGGTATTTACCGAGAAATAAGTCAATTGAATTATATATATATATATATATAATCACATATATACTATCAGTGTAAAGTTTTTTTACACTGATAACCAATTATATCTTTTAGTTGTGCCATATCACTATAAACACATTTACTTCTAACAATGACATGACACAATTAAAAGATATAATTAGTTATTAGTGTAAAAAAAACTTTACGCTAACAATGTATAGATGATTAACTATATATATATATTTATTTATTTATTTATTTATTTATTTATTTATTTATTTACGTGGTGATTGAAGGTTGATATGTGCTTGATTTAAAGAAAATGTAAGCAACCAATGAGTAAACTTGCATTGCTACTGATTGAAGGTTGATATGTGCTTGATTTAAAGAAAATGTAAGCAACCAATGAGTAAACTTGCATTGCTACTAATTACGCGGTTTTATGAATTTTATTGTGCATTGCACCGACAAATACTCTTAAATCCTAGAGTCAGAGTTACTCCTTGCGTGTTTAGAAGATAAGATTATGAAATTAATATTACGTTCATCATGCTGCAACTTCACTCTACTTCCGGAAGAGTCCTAAATTTGAGTTTTTTAGACACATAAAAATACTTTCTTCAATATGATAGAAATCGGTTAGGTAGGAATGGTGAAAAAAAAACAATTACCCGCAAATATATGTGAAGAAAATCTATAACAGATAATAAATACGTACTTTTTAGATAGTAATTGAAATAATGTATTCATACTCATTAATAAATGCATTCCATAGATATCCATTTATCTATTATAATAGAATTATTAAATATCTTTATATATATATATATATCACTTAATTAACAATTATTTACAACATATACTACTCGTATAACTAAATATTGTAATATGGAAAGTATGTTAATATAAATCCACCCCATAGGTTAGATTTCATTCCTTTTAATCAAGAACAACTATATTATTCCACTCTCTTTTTTCCCTGTTTTGGAAAGAACCTTTCCTCTATACATACTCTGTTTTTCAAGTCTAGAAAATTTTTGTTTAAATAGTTTTTATAGTTCACATACATAATCCACTTAACACGTTATTTATTGCTAGAGAAAAAGGGTTGATGGATGGAATGGGTTTATTCAACTTATTGATTCCTAAATTAATAAAATTGTGATTACAACAATTAAAGAAAAAATAACTCCTTTACTCTATAGTGATGCCCGCATGCCTTTATAGAGAAACAAAAGGATGAGAGTGAATATTAATGATTCACATTAATAAATTAAGGCAAGAAACAATTTTTTGTGGTTGTTGATAATCTCTTATACTAAGTAATATATTTTATATTTTAGGCCAGTTGTTGACCAAGGCTTCACTTTCTTGGGAATGGAATACACTTCGGCTTCGTTTGCATCTGCTGTTATGAATGCCGTACCCTCTGTAACCTTTATGCTTGCAGTAA